AGTTATATTCAACCCTAGGTCGGTGCCACAAGATTTTATCGCATTTTATTCGAATTATCGCTAATGCGCTCCATGTTTAGTCATTACTCTTCAAAGATAATTATCACTATTGTGCATTGTATATACAACCGGAAATTATCAAATGTTATTTTGAACAATGCGTTTTTTGCTGAAATAAAAAGAAAATAATGAGTAAAAGAGTATCAATTAAATAAGAAGGTCACGACTGAAATGCTGAGTAGATCCTATGTTGATTTTTTGTAAGCTTCACAAAAGACATTTGCTACAATAAAGATAAATGCAGAACGTATTTATAAGCTTGTTGATTTCTATTCTCAAAGTTTCAAGAGAGTCTGAAGATCTCCATACAGGCATTAGCGACTTGTGTATAAGACTTAATGCAAGCTCTACAAACTGGAAATTGTGCAGAATGAAGGAACGATTTGTCGCTTCATTTTTTTGTGCTTCAGAATGTCGCTAGCAATTCTTGTTTATCAATAACAGAATGTCTTTACTAATGTTCAAAAAATTACTTCCTGAATGCTTGTTAGTCATCCTCACGCTACAATTGTGATTCATTTAGTTTCAGGAACTTTGCCTGTTCTTGTTACCCGGTAGGTCGACTTATGCGTTAATACGAAACGTCAGGCAAAATAAAGCTTTTAAGTTAAAGCCTGGCAGAAAAAGCTCTTAGATATACAAAACAATGCTCAGGTATTATAAACACGAGTACGAGCTGTGGCAATATTTTTAATATAATTTGTAATATTTTATTATTATATGATTAGTAAGCTAACCGAAAAGACAAAAGTTTGGAGTTCAAAGAAAAGATTTAAAATCTCAACTTACTCAGAGTTGCAGACAGAATAGAATGAATGGTGTATTAGCGGAGCATGCTACAAATCAGATTTTGCTATTTTATTGAATTCTCCAAATTTTGCTGTTCTCTATGTAGGTGAAGTAAATGTCGCGATGAATGCGCTTTTGAAATGCAGGCATTTTTTTGCATAAAATCAAAAGATAGCTAACAAGTACTTCTCCGCACCTTAAGCAAGATCAAAACACTAGAGCAAATGGATTACAAAGCGTTTCTAGAGAATAGTAGATGGTCGTTATTTGAAAAAAGGTATGGTGAATCTAAAAGCCTTTGTTAGGCAAGTTTAATATATTAGACTGTCCCATAATTTCTTACTGTCTTTACTACAGCCGTCGTCTTCTTGTATTTTTTCTTTAATAGATGTGGGTTGAGTGAGCATTCGATAGGACAAAGGAAGCTCTGCAAGATAACTATCAAGAATCTGCCCACATCGTGTTCCACGTGAAGTTTCGAGTTGAAGTTGATAGTAGTCATAGCAGTCAAAGACGAACTTTACCTCAAAAATCGTATCTTCGCCCCGAAAAACCTTGAAAATTTCCCATCTATCCTAACATATGCTTGACATACATATCAAACATTCAATTACACACTTTCCGTATTTTTTTCATGGCTAGAAATGAAGAAAAATGGATTGAGTTAAATGGCAAACTCCGCCCCTAGACGTCCTTTGTTCCCCACGCAAGTGGTCATATACATAGCTCATACATACAGAAGTGCGATCATGTATTTGTACCTCTGTAGGTGTCCCAGTTCTCGAGAAAAGCTGATGTTCAAGGTGAAAACGGTAAAAAAAATTATGAGACACCCTAATAGATCTTGTTTTGTTCTGACAAATATCATGCTTCCTACACTTTAGAGACTGGTCTCCCGCGCTATAAGACATGCGCTAAATCCAAAACAACATGATAATGATAATATTAGCAAGGTGCGATTGAGCCTCCGTCAGAGAGTTATTTTGAAGCTGTGTTACCGTATTTATGCAGTAAGCTTTTGTAGCTACATTCACATCTTGCAAACTAATATTTGTGACAGTGTAAACAGCATCTAGCTATTTGATCTAGATTTAGCAGATACATGTAGATTTAGTCGGAATAGCTACAGTATGAAGAGTTTTTTCAGCTCATGGCTTTTCGTGGCTGACCTTTATCTTTATCTTTATCTCATACACGTAAAACGTGTGCCAAAGCTTGTGTGAGTAAAGAAACACTGCTAGAGTAAGAGACTAGCCTGTCAACTTTCAGCAAAACGAACAAACAGCGAATAAGGGCCTCAGGTATTGAAGAAAAATTTCTATTTGGTCAAGGGAGGTTAGATGATCGGCATTGGGGAATGCCACTGTCACTCTTCCGGGCTGTCCAAAACGTCAGCGATTGGTTCCTGCCAGGTATCCACCAACATGACACTTCGGATAAAGAATAATTCAGTAAGCAAGAATGCAGATATTACCGCAATCTAACAAAGAATGAAAGAAGACAATTAACGGCTCAGTTCAAACTAGCAAGCGATCGAGAAAGAAGCTTGTTATGTGATTCGCAATGCTCGATAACTAAGAGTTCCGCATGAGTATCGTGTTCAAAGCTGATGCATCATTCTTTTCTATAAACCAATTTGGAGGAGGAAATGATTTGCACATATGGTTTTGTGAAGGACAATAAGCAAAATGCGTTCACTTAATGAACTGAAAAAAGTTAGGCTTTGACCAGCAATTAGCGTCCAGTGCTTTTGCACCATTTGCAGATCGGTAATATTCAACGACGGAAGCTATGAAGCCGCCGGAACTAAAATGGAGTACGCTTTGGTCTCCGAATGGAGTCCAATTTGTAGATATGTAGTTTTCAGATGCAGTGAATATAATATGCTTCAGCTTCGAGTGGGTCGAAAAAATTTGGATCGCAGTTTACTTTGAAAACTAGCAGAAAACTGCAATAGAGTAGATATTCTGGAACTTGAGTGTATGGGTCAAATAGTTTTCCTAATGACAGCATCTTCAACATCTTTTCTTCAACAATAAACTTCAAATCATAGTGCCTTTTATTGACTGACATTTGAATTGATATTGCCCAGGATAAAGAGTTCTAATTGTCAGTTATACAGAGAAAGACTCGAAATTGAATTCACAGCTAATCTAGTATATTGCGATGAACAATTTTACTAAAGGCCAGCAGCTTTAGAGTTCTAAGACCATACAGATCATCCAAGTACAAATTGTAAACTCAATTTAATGTCTCCTAAAGCAAATAAACGCTACTTGCCCCACTTCCTCTTCTATCCAACCAGCCCGACGTTCATATATTTAATATTTTTAGGTGGCAATTGCAATTTCTTAAAGCATTTTGAGCGGACATAGTTAGAAGTGCTAAGCAAAAACGCTGAATTGATAAATCGATAGGCGCTCAATGATGATTTTCATTTTACATAACTATGACCGACTCAAAATGTTTGAAGGACACCGGAGAACCACACACCAAACTTCAAAAATATGAAGATCGGGAAGGGGCTAAGCAAAAAGCCAAAAATTGATAAATCGACAGCCTCCATGCCTGGTTTTTGCTGAAAAAGCGTAGTGACACCCATCCCGTCCCGATGTTCATACTTCTAAAGTTTGGTGTGGTTCCCCGTGTTCTTTCAAACATTTTAGGTTGGTCTAATTGAAACTGCTAAGTTCACTGCTCATCCTTGTTCGTTGCTTATGTATCTCGACCGATTAATTGAACTCAGAGGAAAGAGCGACCTCAGCAGCGACTCGGACTTGGCAAGCGCGAATGGAAATCCCTCAATAAATGGATCTTTTCAATTTACGAGACAACCACGCTAAGTCTTGCAACACGATGGGCACATTCGCACATTCCATATGAAAATGACCGTACCCTGAATTCTGTATAATGTTTTGCTGTTTTGTGCATAAAACGTGCGACCATTCTCCACGATAGCTTCTATTTTTTGTTTTGTAACGCAGAGAAAAAATTAAAATTTGAAGAAGCTCAATGTAAAGGGTGAATAAGGTTTGGAAGGCGTTCGCATAAATTTTGTGGAATCATTGGTAGATACGAAAGATCGTCAATATTACCGTAGCATGGCCGGTAGTGAACCCCGACCTGGCCCAGGGTAACACTCACTTGACATCCCGACGTGAGGCCTCTTAAGTTTTTTTTTCATGAAAAATCTTCAAGATATAAGGACAAAGTGACCAAAGCATACTACAAGCAGTTTCAGAGTTGAACATACAGCCACACAAAATTATCAAGGAGGGCAGAAGATGCTGCTCATTTCAAACATGAGGTTGAACCGAGAGTTCAGTCCTACCATTTTCAAAAAATCATAACTTCTTTCCCTCACAACAATTTTGCGCGATTCAAATTTTTCAGAAAGCGTAAAGCATGTAGTTTTCAAAAGTCTCCTGGGGTCTTTCCAGCATGCTCAGGTTGCAGAGATAAAAATGAAAAAACGAGATGATAGGAAATTCGGAATTTTTAAGCAAAAATTCTAAAAATCTAGAGACTATGCGATAAAATCCAGAACAGCTGTCATCCTAACTTTTCTTGTATTTTATTACTAATTGAGTCAGATTTGTGCTGATCGAGGTCTTCTTTCAAAAGTTATGATTTTTTTTAAGAATCGCCGGAAAATCAAGAATTCTTTATTGATTTTTCGGTTTTTTTAAACCACCTCGATCAGCACAAACATGACTAGTTAGTAATGAGATACAAGAGTTAGGATGACAGCTGTTCTAAATTTTATCGCACAGTCTCTAGATTTTTGGAATTTTTGCTTAAAAATCCCGAATTTGGGATGATCTCGTTTCTTTTATTTTTATCTTGCAACCTGAGCATGTTGGAAAGTTCCAAGGGGATTTTGAAAACTATATGCTTTACTATTATGTGCTTTAAAAATTTTACTATCTATCTTTTGTTAGGTTGTTGTTTTGACATAGTCACACACTATAATAGCGGAGCTACTGGATGTGAAGAAAAAGAAAATGGTGCTCGAACTTCGTCCACCCCCCCATCTCCTTTTAATCTAAAATATGTATTCATAATCTTAAGTGCATCCTCTTATCTCATCGTCGGAGACTGTGTATGGCAAGTGAAGCCAAATTTCCAAAATCATTCTTGCTTCCCTTACCCCTTTTAACAACATATTTATTCGAACAACTTTCAAAGCTCTGCTGATACGCTGCAAAGATGTTATCACAGTGTCCAGATAAATGAAACGGTAATAAGCTATTTTCCAACACGTGCTGTATACATAAAAGCTCTCTTTCCCACACGAGCAACGTAGATTCGCTTTGAAGGGATGTCTATGTCCGACCTGAAATGCAGAAGTATAGTTTTGTACCACTATTAGAAGTTGTCATATTTGTGTCAGAGCAACCTTGGTTTTTATTGGTTTTATCACCTTATGTGATTGAATCTCCAGTAATACAAGCTTTCAAAATCATTAAACAAGTTGATTCAGCAAGATAAATAAGTAGTATTGGCTGTTACGCGAAAACATATATCTACATAAACTTCCTTTTCAAAAATTGAAAGCAGTTAAGATCAAAACCATTGTGCCACGCTCACAATGAAGGAAAACTTACTCTCGTGCACTACCAGCTGCTGAACGTTTTCCAACCCTTGGATATGGTACCAGAAGTGAGGATAACGGAAGTTGCGAACGTGACATTCGGTGTAACGGGAACACATCAACTGAAATACTTGAAACTATACGGACTGAAATATAAGTAGAAGTAATAGTATCAGTAATATAGGAAATATTAGCTGACATGGAACAACTAACGAGGGAAGATGTTGAGGTGCAACAGGTTCTGATATGGTATGTAAAGTGCCTTGAAAGACATGGAACAGTGATTCCAAATCTGCATTCATTATTTTTTGCGGGTTTCTGGGAGCGGAGCTATGAAGGTTTTTATAGGCAAAATTACAATGCATGATCAGTGTGAAAACACTCGTTAAAGGCAGCGTCCAGGCAATAATGGACCTATAGGGATTTTGCGTGGAAAGTGAATTTGGGGCCCTAGCTAAGGCACTGCCCAAGCGGCAGCGCAGGTGACTCACTAACGGCTGAGATGTACGCCTTCAAACTGGACCCCAGGATCGTATTCGCATGGATTCATGGCGCAAACCATCAGTTACGCGCGAGGACCCGCGCGTTGAGCCATGAATCTATGCGAAATACTATACTGGGGTCCAGTTTCGAGGGGAATATCTCAGCCGCTAGGGCACTAACTGAGCTGCCGGTTGGGCAGTGGCTTAGTTGGGGCCCCAAAATTACTATCCACGTGAGATATGTCCATTTGTCCAGGTTTGCCCGGACGCTGCCTTTAAATTCTTTAACAAGGAAGAAAGTGCAAAAAAAAAGTTACGACTGATTTCACTCTAGTTAATCATTCAATTTTCCAGCACAATAAAAGGCCAGATTTGGAATCGGCGTCCATGTCTCTTGAAGCAGTTTATTTTTCATCATGGAAAGTCATTCAATTAACCATTTATTTTTTGTAAGAGGCAAATTAGTTTGGAGGGGTACTAATATTTTTTATGATAGAAAGAGTAGTTAGCAGAAGGTTGTAATCAGAAAGATTCCAATGACATGTCTGCTTGAACCAAAAGTGCTAACTTAAAGTTTGAATGACATCTTAGTGTTATGGTGGTCATGTCAAGATTACAGCTGAAGATGATCATTTACAGGCTCCTCTTTGCGTGTAAAGAAAACAGCATTTAATGTAGTAGGTTGGTACACAAGTCTTGCACCAAAATGACTTGAAATCTTTTAATCTCCTCCAATGGTATGATCCAAAAGCACAGGTTCAACTTTTTAGACTTAAGTTCTGAAAAATTCTTTTGTTTTTTTTTGGTGTCCCAGTTTTTAAAAGACAAAGTTACTTGGAACACATCTTGTCCATTTCATTCCTTCGCTCGAGTCAAGCCTATTCTAGAGAAAGCTTGTAAATGGACATAATTCTACCATACTGTGAATCACTACGTGATATCCGAGCCAAATTTGCAAAGCTGGCCTATTTTTCCTCATGTGTATGAGTATCGGCCCAAATTTCGACCCTCGCTTGAGATACTTTACATAGATCGACATGGTTTGCCCTGGTGGATTTCAATGAACTGGCGAGTAGGGGAACCTTCTTCTGCGTATGATATCATAGCTTATGTCTGATACCACCCCATGATGATGAGAGAAATCTGCATCCTCTAAGGCTAAGGCATACCTCAAGCGATTCCAGTCGCTGCGCGATATGGCACTGCGGCGACTCTTCATAATTTTTCGTAAGCGCACTTTGCTTGGGCCAGACTAAATAGTTTTGCGAGAACTTACAGAAGCTACACGCCTATACATCAGGCACTCGCGCACGGTTGATCTGTGAACATCTGGCAAAACGCCAAATCGCTCGGATGTAGCGATTTGACGCAGTCGCGGAATATATGCCTTAAGTCTCGGGCATACCTCACGCGATTTCAGTCGCCACGCGATTTGGCAATACTCCAAATGTTCATAACTCATCCTACGGGGTTTCTGAATGTACAGAAGAGGGGGCATTTTATCAGCCTACGAAAGTTATACATGCTGTGCATTTGAGGTCTTCCAGTCTTCCAGTATTGAATTTGAAGACATATGGCAAATTGCCAGATCGCGTGGCGACTGAAATCGCGTGAGGTATGTCCCTTGCCTTAGGCCTAAAACGTAATGAAATGCTTTTTCTAAAATTTGGACACTTTTTGGTGCGGGTGTGCAACCGATGTTTAAGCGGTCTCAAATGCACAAAAATCTGGTTGTATTCATTTTTCATAAACTTTTACTTTCACTCATGCTTTTCGCAGCTTAAGCCATTCTCTTGATAGTGTTCTATCTTTTCAAATCTAAATACTTTCAAAAGTGATGTGAGCCAGACGATTTTTAGCTCAGTCAATAGCATTCCTGGTAAGTCTGCTTTCAATTGCCAGTATATGTTTCGATAAATCATTGTTTCTCGAAGAGTGAATATCTTACTCTTTCTAAAATTGCGGCAAAAGAACCTGATGAAAGGCGTTTTTCTAACATTTGATCCCCAAACCTGCTGAAAGGCCCACAACTTCTTTTACTTTTTATTTGGATTCTATAATCTAAGCTTTTCAAAAAGGAAATTCATGTAGGACGTCTCTACACAAAGTTGTAGTTTTGAATATTTATTTCCAAGTTTTTGTATGGCTAAAATAACTAATGTATACTGTAAACCTGTAACGCTGCTCAATGCATTTATAGATGGGTTTTTGAAGTTATTTACAAGACATACTTTCTAATCTGAGAAGTTGAATATGCAGCAATCGTTGCAGGTTTCCGCAAGAGCGCTCTAAATTAGCAGCAACTTTTGAGTTTCTACAGGTTCAATTTTCGAAGGACTAAGAGGATAGTAAACAGGGTTGCCTTTTGTTAGCATGTTATAACTTTCAACTTCCCCTTTAGCTGTAAATGACATCGAATAACTATGTATTTTGTTGTTAAAAAAGAAACAAGGATGTTGGATGTCATGTAATTTTTACATAGTAGTGATTTGTGAGTCATAAAAGATGTGATTAACAACGAATTCATGACCTCACTTCTTGATAATCGTATCCGACAAACTGAGTAAGAGTAAGAAAAAGTGTTGATCGCTATTCGTCTTGAAGTATCAATCGCTTCTGCAGTCTGACTCACTTATGAAGTCAGAAATTTGGCCTCAGAGCTTGGTACAAAAATATGATGTAATTATCAGGTTGTCCCATAAGTTCCGTCCGTTTTGATTTTCAACCGCAGTAAGTCACATATTTCTTATGCATAGATAGGTTTTAGAGTACCATTTGATAGAGTAAAGCAAGCTCTACAAGATGACGTTCTTGCTGCTGCACCAGCTTGGACCCACGTTGAGTTTGAAGCCGAAACCAGGATTCATCTGCCTAAAAAATCGTTTAAAAATCATAACCAGAACTCGGTACAGATGGTTTGGTAAGCAAGCTGGATATCGTTTTGAGATCAAAGCGAAGAGGTTTCGTTTTTGTGGGCAAAAAGACACAAAATTTGCGACCTTTTTTTGGTCGACGTTTCTTTTTTTGGAGATTTTTTAGGATAATGGCTGAGGGTCAAAGGGATCTTCTTAAAATTTTGGGAAAGTCAAGGGGAACTTCGTCTTTTGCATTTTCCAAAAACCACCTCGTGTCAAGCCCTCACCGTAGCCTGCCCAAAAAACTCTAGAAAAACCCTAACACTTTATACATCATTTATATATGCCTCTGTACTTTTGTCGGGTAATTCATGAAACTATAATTTTCATGCTCATTTCAAATTCATGCTGCGCTGTTCCATAAATAATTGAAACTAGAAATCATTACAAGGACAAATGTAAATTTTCAGCTTTCTTCAATCTTCAGCTATCGAGAAATATTGAATAAAACTACGCTGGTTGGCTTTGGTTGAGTCTCCCACGTTAAATTCCACATTTCGCGAAAAATAAAGCCCGTTGAAAATTTGCGTTTGTGCCTCTACAGGTTTGTAGTATACAATTAGATATGTGGGAACAGCACAACATCACTTCGCCAAAAGCATGAAAATTTTTGTTTTCTCTAAATCTAGCCAAGTAAAAGACACGGAATTGGTATATATATACATACATACATTTATTAATACTCAGTGGTTATATACACTTAATACCGCGATGATCCCGTTTATGGCTTGAGTTGGGCGATTCTGACTTCGATCGTCTTCGATGACAAGATTATGCTTGATTGAGCCAACCAGCGCATTCTCCATTATCCATTCCAGAATTGGTATATATAGATGTCCGATATGAAAAGTTATGCTGAGCAAGTAAGAATTTTCTTACTGGATGGAGTTACGATTTTCTCGTTTTCTGGACGAGTGACTCTCTTTGATTTCCGGCTTTAAACTCAACTTGGATCCAAGCTGGTGCAGCAGCAGCAAACGGCAATTTGTAAAGCTTACTTTACTCTATCGAACATTTCTTTGAAACCTATTTTTGAACGAGAAATGTGTGACTTATTGCGGTTGAAATCAATACGGACGGAATTCACGGGACAACCTGACACATTCCTCAGTGGTGACGATAACATTAGTTCATAAACAAATACTATGCTTTGCACACTGATAGAATTTACCTTGAAGCGCTCATTGTAGCTGACGCGCAAATGTTGTAGATGTCGCAAGAACACTATATTCTCGAAACTACGCTGTGAAATGATGAGATTTCCCTGTTGACGTAATAAAAAATATATTAAGATCTTAGCAGACAAAGATTATAGAGCAAATGTTGTATTAAAGCTTTGTATTGATATGGATTCTCAGAAAAAGAGCGAGCAACGTCAAAGTGCAAAAGAACTGAAACAAGTAAAAGCTCGTGATGTCTGCATATCCCTGTGATCGTAAGAAGAAATGTGTTTTTGTGAGCACAATCCTGCTTGATTGGCCATTGCACATGCCGTAATTATCAATATGTTGTGATGGATTGATTCAAAATTATCAAACTGGCAAAAAGATAGTGTCGTTTTTTGATTTCTTGCTTTAGCAGAACAACCAGGCTCAATCCAAGAAAGGTTAAGGGGCACTGTTTGTTAGAGCAAAGCAACCATTACGAGATGATGTTCTTGAATTTGTGCCAACTTTGATCCACCGAAAGTATGAACTTAATATGTGAAGAGTTCTAAATGCCCAAGAAGAGAAAAAGTTTGATCTCTGTCCAAACAATTTCGGGGAAACTCCCACTTGCATACATTTATACATTCGATATCAGATATTCATATGCGCAGCTGCTGTATTTTTTCCTTGGCTAATAACTGGGAAAATAAAAGTTTTTGTATTATCTCAAAGCAATGCTGCGCCGTTCTCACTTAATTAATTAATTAATTTCATACTACAAGCCTAGGTAAATACAACTGCAAATTTTCGACCTAGTGCGAATGGCCGTTTTCGAAAAATGTTGACTTTAGCACTGAAACCGAGGAGAAAGCTAAACTTGATATCTCTCAAATACCACCGCTCGGAACAGACAATTTACTCTTATACTTATCTAAGCTTAGCATGCTTTGAGAAAACTAGAAAATTACGAAAATTTTTATTTTGTCAGTTTTAGTTAGGGAAAAAACACAACAACATCGCTTATGGATGCCAGATATCAAAAGCAAAGATATATGCGAATAGGAGGTCCACAGAAATTAGCGTTAGGAATTCAGAAATTAGGTTAGCCTGTTTGTGCCAAAACAAGCAAGTAGAGAACGACGTCATTTTCTTGACAACCTAATACATTGAAGCAAAGATAGTTGGAAAACATTTATGACATCATAGCTTTGAGTTCATATCGGTTTGATTGGCTATGTCGAGATATGCGACAAATTCTTGCCAGTTTATTGCAAATCTTGATTCATTCTTTGAAATTGTGCAATTTCCGCTAAACTCTCACCTATGCTAAATGACATAGCAAAAAAATTATTTATATGGTGCGCCTGTTAGCTTACGTTCAGAGGAACAACAAACTAATAGTTTCGTACTTTGCCTCTCTAATTGCATGCCTTGTCTGATCTACAGAATTCCGCTCTACAAAACGGCTACTTATCAGAAGTATTATCAGCACATGCGAGTCCGTGCTCAAACGTCAACTTATTAAGATTCTGCAAATATAACAGAAAGATACTTGTCACGCTTAGAAATTCACTGGAAAAACTCTGCAGGTGCGATTCACCGTAACCCTGTGCATAACTGAAGTACCAACCAAACTGGAGCAGCTGAGAAGAAGCCGAGCACAAAAAAGGCAATCGTACACCTGAGAAAAGCTTTTTTTCCTTGAGGTGTCAGGATTTTGCAGCAGCGTTTAGCCGAAAATGCTTTTTTCAACATATTCTTTGAGGACAAGATGTTTCCGTGCAATTTTACGCCTGGTTGTATGTATGTATGCATGCATGTATGCGTAAATTATGAACATGCAAGTGGACAAGGCGGCTCCGCCCCTTTGTGTCAAGCTCTGTCTACTCGGCGAAAAGTGCTGGAAGTTGCTTGAAATCTGACAAGTTCGTACAAATTCCAGTATTTTTGAAAAGTGGGAGCTTGGCACAGAGGGGTTGGAGCCTGCCTGAGGAGGGGCGGGGCTAGATTTGAAGCTGCTTGAGGCTCCAGAAGTCATTCGCGACCTTTTCTACGCGCTTTGAGCACAAAAACAGGTTCCTACAGATGGCAATAGAGTGTGCGGAGTTTGCCAAAAGAGGAAAAAGAATACCCATAGCCTACAGTGGCTACGGGCACAGTAATTACAAGGAAGTAGAGCATTCAGCAGAAACATAAGCAATGTTTTTGAAACGTATTTCATGGAACATCGTCACATAGCACTTGTTTAATCGAACTTTCAAATGCCCATAACTCCGTTCAGAGTCGTTTGGCTCATAATAAGCATGTATTTGAAACCAGTTTTAAGGCGAGTCCGCTGATATATAGCTTGTTTGGTATGGCTGGGTTAAGTTCTGACTATTTCCTCCTGAATTGTATTTGCTTCTATAGAATAAAGAACAGGAGTAGTATCACTGTAGAGGATCATTTATAGGTTGAAAAGAGAATGATGTCGCCGTTTGTGGTATAGCAACAAGGCGAATTCGAACATGTACGAGAGGCACTATTCAACAAAACATGCTTTACATCTGGCCATCGAACGTCCGCATAAGTCGCGACCCATGTAAATTTTGAAGCCAGAACCTTGAGTGTTCAAAAAAATCCTGCGAAATTATTACGTGGTCAAAATTTATCATTCTGATACAATCAATGCGTGCATTGTAGTTTTCCAAGACTAAAATCAAGAAAATGACCGAAATTGTGCAAATGATTTTACTTTCTACATCTCAATTTACTCATTTATTTGCTTGTTACATTACACAAGCGTAATTTGCTATTGTAAAAAATTATTACATTAAGAAAAGATAGGGCGATAAACGCATAACATAGAAGTTCGATTTTCTCACATTGATGTCATAATTTTAGATATAGATGAATTAAGCAAAACGAGAGGGAGTTCTGTTTTGTAACTCATATTACATCAGAAGAATCAACGGATCCAGCAGAAAGAATCGAAAAACGTAAAGCGTGCTTTCAAAATTTACACTTGTTCAAAATTGCAAAACTAATAAAGTAGGGCAATAAATAGTTTGATTATGTTGCTCTAGTGGAAGATTTGTAAAGCATTTTGTACGAAGATCTCATTTTTGGGGTAAATGAATATTCATGACTTTGACTTCAAACTTTACTTGGATTACGATTTATGCAGGCCTCCGAGACTACTTGCGACTCGCCATTTGTAGTACCAAATTCCCAGTATTTGATGAGTACGAAAATTACCATTGACTCACCTGATGATTCTACAATGGTGGTTGATAGGATAACAGCTAACCAGCCTAACAGAACGAGCTTCATGGTTATGCAGTGTGAAGTAGATGATAAAGCTGTCATGGCAATTACTTCACAGCGGATGTTCCGTCCCTTCTAATATCCGCGCTGATATAGACGTGATTGTTGAGATGTGGTTGGTTTACGATGCTTTTGAAGCGTCGTAGCTACAGTATATTTAGAATAAAGTAGCAGGGCAGAGTTCTTGGAGTTTGGAAGACGCTTCAATGTAGCGTCTTTCAGCCTTGATCGGCAGCGAGTGCCGCTCAAAGAAAAAAAATTACTCTTATCAACGAATAAGAGAAACCTTATAGCATTCATACAATAATTTCATTAGTATGAATTCACCACACCTTGAGAAAAAAAGTAAAAGATCTCGTTACGCACAAGGAAGTCTCAAGCAAAAAAGCCAAGCAAACAAGGCATTTTCGTTTGATTGTTATCATGCTCTATACTTTCATTTTTACGAAATCGCGCTGTAACTTTTAATCAGCATGTGTGTCATTTACGACCCTCTCTCTTGGCCTTTTATTCGGCTGTAATTATGATAATGTGGAAAAATGACTCTCTATCGCACTTCATCTATCGCTCATACAAGGCCCGTGAGTCAGAAGGTGTACATCTGAAGGAGAACTTAGAGTCCTTTTATCGTTATCGAGTTGCTCCCACACGAAATTTTTGAAATGAAAATTCTTGAATGAGAATGTTAGGTCCAGTTGCAGGTTTGCACTTATCAATGACCAGAGGGAACAGTACTTTAATGGACGAAATGCCATGAGAGCGTAGGTGATTTCGGTCCGCTACAGTCATTTCAACTGCAGCTATCTCATTTATGCAGTTGAGAATTTATAGTATCTCCTTCTGACTCATTTTAGTTGAAGAAGTAAGTTATCACGTCCATATTGATCAGGAATAAGACATTTATTATTAGTTCACATTAGTATTCGATATCATAGTAGAAGGAAACATTCAGTATTAATGATGTTATGATAGTAATTTTAGTTTAGTTTCTCAATATCCATAACCTTCATCTCCGGAAGGTAACAATGGGTGAGTATTTCGAACCGAAATTTCAGCGGCTCGCTCTCGTCTTCTATGGCAGCCTGAATGAATTAAACTTTATGACAAAATTCTTAGAAAAACCTTACAAGGTCTTTGGCCGCTCGAATCTTTTCGTCGCTACTGCCGTATCGCTCTATTTTTTTGAGTCCCGATGCACAGCCATATTCAAACCCATCTGAGCACAAAAATGTGTAATTTGCTCACCATTCGTAAATAGCGTACTCACAACGTTGGACAACGCTGAGCAGGTTGCGCAGGCCTTTCGACCTGCGCAACCTTTTCATAGCATCGGGGCTCAGATTATCCAACAGCGCATTTCTGTTTCTTCTTAGGATCCGGATGTGGTTGTATACTCTCTCCTAAACAGGTAGTCTTCAATTGCGCTTGAGCTCAGTAAGCCTTGCACCAGGTACGAATTCATTTCTAGCTGATACTCAGAATCGAACATCGAGGTGAGTAATGTCGTATGAGCGCCGCGCAGAACTCTATCTGAAACTCTTGCTCGATGTTTTTCATTGCATAAATAGAGTCCATAACACGACATGACTTACAATTAAATTCTTCTTCAAAAAGTTTCTTCAGCTCTTCTCGCACTCTAAAAATCCTAACGTAGAGCATTAGACGTTGATATGACCCGTTCCCAAAGGGGAACGAAAAAGTACGAGATTTCGAGGAACACATCATTTGTATTGTTATCTGATACGGCAAAAGCTGAGAAAAGATGGTCCCTTTAGTATGCTTCGCCAAGGGACTGCCGCACTCTGTCGAGAACATAATCTTGCAAGAGCCGTTCTACGCGTGCAGGTACGGTCGATTGCACAAAATCGCCCTTATCTCCTTGGGAAGAGCGTAAAAGTACCGATGTGGTATCAATTTCGGTGAACGGAAGGGCTAACAAAAATGACGGGAACAAAAGGAGTAAAAAGAAGTGACAAGCCTTGAGAACTCCCACTACTGACAGTTGGGGAAATGACAGTACATTTGTTACACAAATTTATGGTGGCTACAAAATTGATTTGGTCAAACACCAAAAATGCTTGACTTCAAGTTGAAGAAAGGAGTTAAAGAAGTTTTCAGGGTTTTGCGTTCCTCTTCAACGATCCTTTTTGCAAAGAGGCGTTCGTTCGCGCAACTCTGTCCTGCGCTTCTGAGTCCGTAAGGGCAGCCCGGCTCTCTCGCTTTCTCCATTCGCTGCTACGATGCGGGCCAGTCAGAGGCGCGTACAAATTAGATTGCAATAACGTTGAAAGGACCGTTTTCCACCTGGGACAGTAGAACCGCGAGAGACGTTCAGGACGTACCTCGGATCCGGCATCTTCGGAAAAGGTCTTCTAAACTTTTTCCAGGACTTTAATCTTCTGCCGAAAAACGGTCTTTCAGATTTTGCCTAAATGGTATGAGTTGTGCCCTGACTGAGGTTGAGAGAAGTGGCCTCACCGCCATTAGTATCGCGAGTAAATGAAATGAAACACACCATATATCGTGAAGAAGGAATGACTTTGTTTACGTCCAGTTAGATTATTGTTTCTCAAAGTGCGGTATGGTGCACTCTGACCATGCATTCGCGTTAAGGCTTTACAAAAGGCAGATGCGGAGGACAGCTTGCGTCGCTCGGAAGTTACTACTTTACGATATTCAACCATTGTTTGATCTGTACAAAAGCCAGCAACATAATTTCTTAGTGCTATAATTTTAGTGGGCTACCAAAAAAACAATTCCAATTGCTGGGACGACAGAAAACTTCGAGATTTTCACCTAAATACAGAGTGCCCCAACAGATACACACTTTTCATTGTTATGCTTCTTCCCACAAAATGTTTTGCTTAGCTTCAATCACCAATCAGTAGAGCAGGCTTTAGTTTAGATTTACAGTTTGGAGCAAATCACCTTTTGCATTTCATTACGCAGGAACTTTTGAACGGGTGTTGAGCCATCGGTGACTACATTTATCACCGGAATGGCTACCCAACAAGCTGAAACTTTTTCATTAGGTTAGGCTGAAAAGCTGACCAAAAGAAATAAAATCCACACTTTACCGTATGGCTTTTATAAGTCATGCCAAAAACAATGCCAAAGGCGTCCTTTCAAATGCTTTTTAAATGACTAAAACATTGGAAAGCCTATTTCGCAATGGCGTCGTGTACTGGACCTACCATAATTTTACAGTACTCAAGATGGATCGGTGATTCGAAACAGTGTAAATCGAAGTTGGAGCCAGTTCTACAGATTGGTACCAGATGCTAAGCAGAAGGCCTTCTAAGCAACATTATTCGTTTTCTGACTTCAGTATCGGGTGGCAACCTCCCGCCTACTTCTTAATTATCAAAACTCTTCACTCATCATTTCTACCTGCTTAAAGTTTGGCTAATTTGCAAACTCTATTTCGAAGTTTCGGAAAAGAAAGCAAATAGAGCAATCCTCGGACTACACTATAGTTCTTTTGGACTCTTCTGATCTGCTGTTTGGAGCCTAACAGTTGTTCACTAGGAGGGCTTAATTTGGCAAATTCATGAAACATGCAACTACAGCAAAAATATAAAAGGTCTTAGAGTCTCTGCGAACTGAAGCTTGATTACTGTTCAACATCGTTTGCCAATTGGTTTTGTGTTTTACCCTGCAGTTTGGGAAAAGTCACTTTTAAAACGCAGGTTTTCTCTTGATTCAGACATAAATTTCAGTAACAGAAAATACACAAGATAGCAAAATGTACCGTTTACCTATTTTGTCAAATGTGTGCTTGGAAAATACATTATAACATGCATTTGTAGCTTCCGTTGCAATAACGTTGTTCCGAATCAGAAAATTAGAAATCAGGAAAATCAGAAAATCAAAAACCAGAATCATTTTACCGTTTCTCGAGTAATTTTCCGTATTCTAATAATCAAGCTTCAAGGCTATAAACTTTCTAAGTGAAAATTCATGGCACACATTGACGGTAAAAGTGTTGACCATAACCCACTGACCTGATGGTAAATCGCATTTGTCGCGCATTTCACTAGTAGCTATCACAAGTCAACTCAACTCTCATTCGTTCTTCTTTTATGAGTGTTTTCACTTTTACAGCCGTCTTCTTCGCAATCACTGTCGTGACGCAAAGTGAGTAACACTCTAAATGGTGAGAAAAGAAAGTAACAGTACCATTTTAGCCAGCGACGATCAACCCTACTATGGAGTTCCAATGGGAACTTTCGAAAGCGATAAGTTTGGAGTCCATTCCGAGTTATATTTAGGTGATGATCATACTATAGTGCTTGACAAATCTGACCATAAACCAAAAACACCTGCATGTGAGTCAAAATGTTCGAAATAAACTCTTAGCTAGTTTGCTATAAAATTGTTTGCGCATCTGTCTATGCACAGCAATGATGATAGGACCGGCGGAAGGCGTGGACGCCGAAACGTCGGCCCAATAAATATCAATACTATCTTGGTCAACGCTAGAAAACAATCAATAATCACGATGATAGGACCGCCAAGACAAGAAGATGAAAGGAGAAAAGTATTTTGATATAATGACCGCCAAGAGCACAAGTATTGTAAGAACTCCAGGTAAGAGATGGACTATTGCTACACTCAGCCCAATTTTTCTTGGGAAGAAATAGACGACTAAAAAGGATAGCGGAGTAACTAATTAATCAGCTTTTTAAATCCAAATATTACGGTGATGTATTCGTTAAGAGCATTTGGAAAAGACGATAATTCGTTTGGAACGTGGGTTTTCTTAAAGGCAGTGTCCCGGCAGGTTCGCGCTCTGGGGGATATAGGTGTGGGGTACCTAGTCATCCCACTGACCTCCAGGCGCAGTCCGGCCGGCTGATTCTCCCCCCGAGCGAGAAAATGGCCCTTGAACCGGCGCGCGCGGCCCCAACGGGCGCACGGTGCGACAGCTTCCTTGTCTGTTCGGCGCGGGACCTCATAACCGCTCTCCCCCATTGTGCATGCTATCCAAAGCAAAAATTACAGGCGGCAGTTCGTGTGAGGACCCCCCAACTTTCCATAAAAAATCTCGTCCGAGCTGCTTTTTTGGAACTGGATAAACGCCCCAAAATCGGCCTTTTCTGCCCGTTCTAACAAGGAAACGATAATTGGTGTCCGTGGCCTTTTGAGATGAAATGTATACCATCACATTCGTCTTGGGACGCTGATTCCGAATCTGACTTTCGTTTCTGCAAATCGTTTCTCTAGAAGAAGTTATGAAGAATTTTTGCGTCAATGGCCGCCTAAAAGAAATACGGTCGCGGATGCCTAACTTTCAAAAGAAGCTTGATTGAGGCAATGCAAAACTTAAAAATACAAAAGCACTCGAGACTAAAGCTGTTAACTTGCGAGGCTATCGCACTAGCCACTACACCACATCTCAGCTGCGGTTTTGACATTTCGACTACATCTCCTTTGGCGCGAAAATCCTCCATAACTTTTTTCTGAGGAACGATTAGCAAAAACGGAAGTCAAAGTCGGAATCAGCGCTCTAAGACTATTGTAATAATATGCATCTCATCTCAAAAGGCCACGGACACCCAAGTATCGTTCCCTTGTAAGATCAAATTAGGGTATTACGTGGCGAAAAGGCCTGAAACATACAGAAAAGTGGAAGTGCAAAATCTGCCGGGACACTGCCTTTAAATGCGTAAATCATGAATAACTCAAAGTTCTGTGGCCGTATTCATCAACGAACCCCGAGGGTTAAACTAACCCTGGAGGGTTAGTTTAACCCTGGAAAGTCTTTAAACCGTATTCATGAAGCACAGGTAGGCTTAACCCTCAGGGTCAAATCTAACCTTGAGGGCTAATTTCCCCGAAAGCGACTAACCCGTATTCATCAACGAACCGTGGGGGTTAAACTAACCCTGGAAGGTTAAACTTAGGGGATTCGTCGGGGTTAATTTAACCCTAGCTCAGAGCAAGGTTAACTCTACCCTAACACTTCATACAAACATTTACTCGCATCTAACAGTTTATGGAAAACGATCAACGAGTATTGTAGTATTTAGTATTGGTTGTTGTTATAGTATTTAGTTTCGACTTCGTTCTATGTTCATATTCGAAATACATGAAACACTGACTTTGCGATAAAAAGAATTCTAGCTTTGGTGACAAATGAATGCGACGAGGAAAAATGGCATTCCACTCTGACAAGTGCCAAAACAGAAGAACCCCTTCATAATGACACGCGTCGACCCCTAAAGGAGTAGCACAAGCCCGGTATAAAACGAACTGCGCAAAAGTAGAACTTACACTGCACAATTGCACACATGAAAATAAACTCACGCTGTGATATAGGATGCTGCACAAGTATGCTAGAGATGTATTATAAAAATTAGTGTTAGAAGCTTATTCGTTGACTATACTACTATAACAGTGAAAGAGTAGAAGTATAAAGTGAATTTAGCCCGTACTTAGGCATTCTGTGATGTGAGTTTGCACAACGCACGCGTAACTGACGCCTTAACCCTCCAGGGTTAGTTTAACCCTCAGGGTTGATGAATATGGCCACAGGTTCGTTGATCGATATGGGTAGACCGCGTTCCGTGGTAAACCCTAGCCTATGGTTGATGAATGCGGCCAATGAACCCTGAGGGTTAAACTAACCCTGGAGGGTAAGCTTAACCCTCAGGGTTCGTTGATAAATACGGCCACTGGTTTGCCAGAGTGTTGTCGAGATTTGGTCTTGTCTATTCAAATAATGATGCAATCATCGCTAGGCTGTGATTTTATGACTACTATCAGATTTTAGCTTAAGATTTCATGTGGGATATTATTTGAGCAGACTTCTCATAGCCATCTTGTAGAGCTTGCTTTGCCCTGTTCAATGATTACTCAAGCCACATCAGAAGAATGAAAGGTACAAAAAGAAGGCGGTTGTAGTAAGGGTAAAAAATTATGATACGCCCTAATATCTGAAAATTGGAGAGAATTTACTGAAATTGCCTCGCTTTTGTGGAACGACGAAAATGGGTCTAGCCTGGGGTTAACACGCCACACCTGAGGGTCTTGAAGGGGTCAGGAAGAGGGGCGGGGGTTGTTATCGAGGTGATAGTCATGTTAGCGATAGCGATTTTTTTTTACATGATGTCAGTCAACAATGTCTGATAGCCCCATTGTCCAAGATACCAGCACTGATGTTTTGGCCTACCGTCGGACACGCACACTAAGCATATCAAAAGAATTCTAAAGCATAAGAGCATCATTTTCGTAATTGGCATATCAAATAACCCTGCGGGCCAAGTTTCAGCGAGTTTTGGGGTCTTCAAATATTGGCACACTTAAGTGAGTTTGTTATTTTCGAACATGCCAAATTTTTTCAAAGGTAAGTAAACTACTTCTTTTTGCACCCATTACAAAGTTCTTTGCTCGTATCAGGTTTTCCACTTCAACCAACCTCCAAACCCTGAAATTAAGAGCAATCCAAAATCTCGTCTGTCTCATTTTTTGCTTTCGATTTCTCAGATTATAGAAGATCTATCAGACTCAAGTCACTTTTGTGAAAGTTACGAGGATCAGGCTATCGAATATACTTTTTCCTGCCGCCTTCCCTCGCACGTAGTAGCGCAGGCTTAGCACATTACCGTAATCCAATATGTTCGCGGTGTTTTCCATTTGCCTTAGCCAAGGAAAAACAGCTATATCTTTCCCCAGGAAAACAATTTTGAATGAAATTTCTGCTATGTGAGAAGAAGGTTTAGCATTAGCAACCATATAAGAAAGACAGGGATTTGGATGCTTTGAAGGTAAGTTAATGGGGTGTGGCACAACCGCTAAAAAGCTGTGGCGACCACAGCTTTTTGGGGATTGCGCCACATCCCTTTGCCTTAAATTCAAACAGATCAAATAGCTGCGTCTTTTATGTCGTTGTTACTGCTTAACCTTCTTCTTTACATGGCAGAAATTCGAAAACGTTCCTTCAAGAGCAAGATAAAATTGTTTTTCCTTACCTATGCAAGTGTAAAATAGTGGGCGCACAGGGCTAATGGGTGCACATTTTGTACTAACTTCCCGAACCCTATGCCCGGGTATATACCATATATCAATTGGCCACTTCGATTCAGCGAACTTCCCTTGTTAGATCCTACTTTCTATTTTCTAAAAGAAATTCAGATTCATTTATTGCATAAAAATTCAATTAGCCAGCATGCAAAAGACAGTTTCGCATGCGGCTTACCCCCAGCGGTTACCTAACCGGTCTCTGACACTGGCGATGTGCTATATAACTATGATGAGATTCTTTATATACGCCATTTCATAGTAATGCAAAGGTAGTAAATAATTCTTCAATATACGGTTCACACATATGCAAAGAAAGATGCATATAATGCTCCCATAGCGATTTTGCTGCAACTGCTCTATTTACTAGATGCATACTCTCTTCTCTAGTAAAACATGGCGTAACTGCGTACAGCGCACCGAGTGTGTGCACTGTTAGACCATCAGTGCCTCGATGAACCTATGATACCTATGCTTCAGGCGGGTGACGACATTCCATATTGCTCGATCGGACACTGGCCCTTGGCACGGAGCTGGCACGAATCTGGCACGGGCTGACACACGGTTAGCAAAGACGTTGTACTTAATGGGATGCACGATGAAGGAGCTGGCGCGTAGCTGGCACTGCCCCAAACCTATGAGGTTCAATGAAAAAGTCGAAGAGGGTGCAGTCTGCCGGAGCGCATGTTGACGCTCCTCTCACAGTGCGCAAAGATAATAATTTGTAACAGACATAGATCAACTGTGCATCTTTATTGAAACTGATGCAAACATTGAGATTGAATTAAAAAATGGAGAATTAGGCGCGTTCACGCGACGTTAGTCAGTGTGATCATGTGATCGATCTACCTGCTCTGGCAAGAAAGCCTATCGCAGTTTTGCCTTGTTTGGCGAATGCTTTGTAGCATCTCGCTCCCTATGGCGCAGCGCGTGTGAGCGCTGTTATCGCGGTCATCAGCTGTTCGATGACGAGCGGAGACGATCGTTTTGTGGCGCCCTCCAGATAGCTGGCTATAGTCTTGCGAGATAGTTCGAGCTATCACGACATAGTCCCTCTATGTTGTGACAACCAGGTCCAGAGACTGCACTGCCATTCAGACATATAATTCCACTCGTGCGAGTACAGCCTCTGTAATTCGATGATATGGAGAAGAGTTAGATTTTGTAAAAAGACAGACAAAAAACCGGGTGAAAAACGTTTAAGATCGTTTTAAAACAGCATTTCGTCACACTCCGTCGAACGGTCATAAAATAGTAGGTATGCTATTTTGTAAAAAAAATTTATTCGAATCAAAGGAATCTCTTAAAGTTGACGATTTGTATCGGCAGAGTCAAACTTTCGGCAAGGACCTCGACACGAAAGTGCAAGGCAATCATTTTTTTCTCCATTTGAGCCTAAATAGGCTTGATTTGTGCAACAAAATCAATATAAAGAATACTTACCAGTTTATTTGTCGCATCGAATGCGACATCGTAAATTCCGCACAGTTGAGCATAATGATAAGCTACCATCGTTCCACATTCGTAAGCATCTAAACTATGAACTATGAATTATGAACTTGTTCCGCGCTCAGATCATAGCAGCTCACATTCTTGGACTAGTTCAAAGAAGCTACGCAGGTCTTTCGACCTACATAGATGCTCGAGCGCGGCTCTGCTTAACAACTTAATCTGCAAATCTCTTTTTATACATATCTTTTTCTTCTTCACAGTTAAACAGTGCTGAAAAGATACTCATACAAAATTGCGCCTGAGCAAGAATTAGAACTGCACCATAAACGCCTCCATTTCCTTTTCGTATTTCTTCTCAAAGAGACAAGTGTACAGTGTGGCGTAAGTGCCACACAACAGCCTATCTGAAACTCCCTTCATATGACTGCGTGGGATAAGCTTTGATTAGCGACTCACAGCCGAAAATATTTTCGTACAACTTTTTAAACTCTTCTTTTACACTAAAAGAAATTAAGATTGCTAAATGTTGCCAAATACAACCCCTCGTAAATAACGGTAACGTGCTCCTTCCACTCTGCCGCGGGGTGCCGTTGCATGAAATCTTCCTTCCAAACTAATGTGACTTTGCGATGTATTAGGTTGGTGCAAAAGGAACGGCCAATTTGCGAATTCTCGCTTTGACGTGCAATAACTTTTGGAAGAATTCACATTTCCGAATGCGGTAAAAACTATCAGAAGCAGCAAACCTTGCACTGCAGCGCACATTTATTTATACTCATATCACGAATGGGCAGAAAAATATGGATTGAAAAATAAAAAAGGTTCTTCTGCTAGAACATTGTCTTTGACAATTCATATCTTCCTTCAAAGTTTGTTAGTATAAATGTTAAGTAGCCTATCTTGTAGCCGCAAGCCAGTAGTACAAAACGCAATAAAAAGAATTCGGACAGAAAAGTTTGCGGAAAAGAAAAAAATTTGAAATTTGAAATTTCTCACTTTTTTGAACATCTTTTCAGTGTGCTTCAAAGTCCCGAATATAGAATTTTTTGATTTTCTAGGTACTGAACAGCTGGATGTTTTTGCAAAAACAGCTAGCAGGATGCCCTAGCCCTACGCTTACAGAATTGAGCAAAGCTCCGGCGATTGACTTCTTCAGAAGAAAATTATGGGTCATAAAATGACCGCAACAGCTACTCATGTTTAGGCGCCGATATCTCAGTCTGGATAGCCTCAAAGAACACACTCAAGTATGCATTATTTAGGCAATTTCTATTACATACAATAGCTAAATTTTCGAAGAAATCCCATTGATACGCGCTCAAATTCTGGCCGGAAAAGTGAATGCAATGAAATTCTGAATTTGGATGCGGTTATTTGAAGCTCAGTAACTTTACAAGAAATGATGATGAGAGCCCGTTTTAAGCACCGTTAGATAGGGCATGAAAACAGCATCGCGATGGTATACTACATCTATTGTAAAGAAGAAGAATTGATGGGGAAAAGTTGCCCTAAAAAAAGGCTTGGAAAATCGGCCAATCCTTTTGCACCAACCTAATATAAGACATACAACAGGAGGTAGACAATCACGTTATGCCTATCTCCACCCAAATCTCCCTTTCAGTAAGCGCTCCAGACCTGTGAGTCCAGGATAATTATGACCAAGTGCGGAGTTTTCCCTGCTCTGCTTCTCTCCACATCGAAACCTTACGCAGGCGGAAGAGTTTTCAAACATTTTGTTGCCACTGTCTTATGGAATGCTCCTCACACGCTATTGTATTACGTGTATTATGTATTGTGTGTAAGAATGGAGGGCGCGTCAAAAGTGTTGGGGTCTAGTTTAGATGAATTCAAAATGTTCATAGGAGCAAAAAAAATTGGTGCTCACATAGTTCAAACAGTTGCAAGTACAGCTCAATTATTGAACTGTGAAATAGTTATTTCTACATTTAATGCAGTCCTTCGATCCCCTGGCAAGTCCACCTGTCTCAGCACCATGTGACGTAGAAGTTTGCCCCTACACATTCAAGATCAATGCTCTTCCATGTGGCAAATGTGCAGCGTAATAGAGCAAGCTCTTGCATACTACATATTACGATGAAATTTTGCAAAGTTCAGGAGTAGAGATAATGGGATTCTAAGTGTAGGGATATGCGTCGCATAATGGAGGTTTGGATACAGTTGCGCGAAAACAGAAAAATGTCTTCGGAAGCAATGAAACTTTTATCGATTTGTTGAATAGATGCTTATTTGGATGACATATATGAGTGTAGCTTTACACCCAGTGAATGCTGCGCCTCTATAGTTCAAATTTGTTTAAGGACATAGCCACTGGCATGCATAACATTCGCAAATTTTCTTTGCTTTTGGGAGTACATCTGGCAAACGCAAATACTACAATGTGATTGCGTAAAGCTTCCTTACTTTGTCTGCACTGAGCTGTTTAGAATACTCTCAAATGGCTTTTTGAATAACAAATTCTAAGTACCGAAAAGTTTTATTTTCTAGCCATGCAAAACCTAGTCTGATAAATTCACGTTCAATATGGCAGTTTTGATCTGAAAAAGTACAACTTGTCTAGAATGATAGCGGCATCATGTGGCATGACTGAAATCAAGACCATTAGTAGCTTCACAATTAACAGCACCGCAGATAGGCTCTCAAACTTTTGGAGCCTGTACTGTATTCCTTTCTGTCGCCACACGCAATACATTTCATTTCCCACTGAATTTAGTGGTGGTTCTTTCGAAAATTGAGTTTTCTCATATGGCTATGAGACACGAGAAAGTCCGGGAAAACTCAAATACCGAAAATTCACAGCGTGCAAAGAGATAACCGTTTGTTTAAATTTATTTAAGCTTGACCAAGGTGGTATAGAAATAAGTAAAATGGCTTACGGGTTTTGGCGAAGTATCGCCTTCTTCAGAGCGCTGTAACAAAGTCGAACCGCGACAGTTGAAGATTCGCCGCGGTCGCCACTGTCCACTATCTAAAAGGATGACAGTACAGCCATGATAAGTGATCTTACAGCTAATCAGCGTCTTAGGGACTATAAATAGACAGCTGAGGAGGGGCACTTTGGTTTATTCGATTCCATTATCTCAGGGTGGACAGGACCTCGGTGAGTCTTTAACTGTCGCGGTTCAACTTTGTTACAGCGCTCTGAAGAAGGAGATACTTCGCCGAAACGCGTAAGCCATTTTACTTATTTCTATACCACCTTGGTTAAATAAATACCTCAAATAAATTTGAACGGTAATCATACAGTGCTGGACATGATTATAAAGCCGCTCTAGAAATCGTCGTAATTTTCGTTTTGTCAATGAATCTGTCTGAAACGTTGCTGTATTATGCGCATGTCAACCCGCCATGATTCCTCAAAACGGCTTCCAGTTTTGTTGAGTTTGAACGGAGAACGCGAAAAAACTCAAAAAAGCTCTCTTTGAAAGTTGGGCAAAATTATAAAGCCACCTGGTTTTTCTAATCACTATCGCATTCGTTGACTCTCAAATTCTTTTGTACAATTACATCCCAAATTATGAAACATCTGCAACATCTACGGCCTGTCATCCTACTCAAATAGAAGCGATCACTGCAGTTTTTGCTTTCAAAAGCACCAAAAGTCAATCTGTTTCAACAAAAACTGATTTGAAGAGTTTTCAAGCTCTTGTTCATTTTAAATGATAATCATGGAATCTACTGACCCTTCTGGATAGATAAGGTGAAGAGCGCTTTCGTAAACTCTGCGTAAACGCTGATTTTGACGGACAGACTCCAACCTCACCATAGGGTTGACGCACTTTTGCACCACAAACTCGATTTTCAAGCGACAGAAAATACTGTAATGTAGCCATTACGACAGTCGTACAACAGTGAACTCGTGTGCGTAACTGGGAAAAAATTTCAGGATTGAGCACTCTGGTTCAGCCGCAGTTGACATCCACTGAATGTTGAGTGGAGCACCCTGCACAATCAAAGCCAACTCAGGTCACGAGATAAAACCGGAGACGCTAAAACTTCAGAATCTTAGCTAATCTCATTCATCAGGTGAAATACGACCTGAAACACAGAGGGAAATAAGGAGATATAAGGTTATATCGAATCTTCTGCTCGCAGGGAATTTTCATGGAAAGTAATTCAGGTCTAAATCGCTACTGCATCTTAAGGAAAATTCTGGAAGTTGTTTGCGAAAGCTGCATCCTCATGTAGGCAATGTAATAAATCAAGTACAGACTTTGTGAGCATTGCAAACTGAGTTTTGTGGTTTAAAAGCGTTACAAGCCTATGTTAAGGTTGGAGTCTGTCCGTCAAAATCAGCGATACGCAGAGTTTACGAAAGTGCTCTTCACTTCATCTATCCAGAAGGGTCAGTGGATTCCATAACTATTATCTAAGATGAAAAAGAGCTTGTAAACTCTTCGGACCCGCTGTTTGTTGGAGCAGATTGACTTTTGGTACTTTTGAAAGCAACAAATGCAGTGATCGCTTCTATTTGAGTAGGATGACAGGCCGTAGATGTTGCAAGTGTCATATTTTGGGATGTAATTGTGCAAAAAAAATTTGAGAGCCAACGAATGCGATAGTGATTAGAAAAACCAGGTGGCTTTATAATTTTGTCCAGCTTTCAAAGAGGGTTTTTTCGAATTTTTCGTGTTTCTCCGTTCACACTCAACAAAACTGGAAGCCGTTGTGAGAGATCATGGCGGGTTGACATGCGCATAATAGCAAAGTTTCAGACAGATTCATTGACAAAACGAAAATTACGACGATTTCTAGAGCGGCTTTATAATCATGTCCAGCACTGTATATTAGGTTGTGCCGAAAGTTCGTTCGCACCAATTTCAAAAGTTCATAACTCTTCAAATTCTTAACGATTCGTGCGATCAAAATTTTGCATAAGAGAGGAACTCATGTCACTTGCATATGCACCTGAATCGTTCGTTAATGTATACAAATGAAGGAGATAGAAGCTCAAAACCAAATCACTCAAAATTTAAATTATTCGTGTAGGGTCATAAAAATCAGAAACCCGCACAAAAATCGGAGCGGTCGGTGTTGTAGGTTTTTTCACCAGCTCTTTCCAACAGCGCAAAGTTTGCGCCGATTGAGCGTCTCTATGAAAAGTTACGATTTCCCTGAAAAATGTCAAATAAATTAAATTCGCCCTTTTTATTACTTGCTCGAAAATCGTAACTTTTCATAGAGATGCTCAATCGGTGCAAATTTTGCATTGTTAGAAAGAGCTGATGAAAGAACCTACAATACTGAATGCTCCGATTTTTTTGCGATTTCCGATTTTTATGACCCTACACGAAAAATTCAAATTTTGAGTGATTTTTTTGAGCTTCTATCTCCTTCATTTGTACACATTAACGAACAATTCAGGTACATGTGCAAAAAGCATGAGTTCCTCTCTTATGCAA